TAATGATTATTTGTGTTGAATAATTATTGTTATTATAAAAATTTTTAAATTCACAATTTTAACATAATATTAAAGAGAGCCATTTTCTGTGATTAATGCACGAAATGAATAGAACACATAGAAATTCATTTATTTTAATTCATTTTAAAAATTTAAATCCCAACAAATTCGATGCAAGCAATATAATACTTGTATTTGCATAATATGTACTTATGTTTTATGTATGCATACATATGTATAGGGAAATGAAAATTTTATAAGCCATTTCCTTTACTTTTTAAATAGTAAATCCAATTATACGCCTTATTGTAAATTTCTTTTAATATTTTATACTTACATAAGTACATATGTATGTACATAATATGTATGCTTTTCTTTATAGCTTAAAAGAAATTAAGCAGAAAAATATAAAAATTCTAGGAATATATTAATTCTAGGAAACAAAGAAAGGTAACCATCAAATTATTTTCACATCTAACGCAAGAAAAATAAAAACTTTTAATATTCCTAACCGCACGAGGTGGGTCATTTTTGCAAGGAAAACGATAAAGAAAAGAAATAAAACATAAAACAAAAGATTAAAGAGTGGTCATCACATTCGTTTTAAAATAAAATATTCCTGCATACGGACATACAAATGTATATTTATATAATATGTTTATGTACATATAATTAAAACATAAAACCAGATACATTATGGATGTACATACATACATATGTATATGAACTTAAATATTTATAAATAAAAAACAATATTCTTGAACTTGACCGCCGTCGTTTGCACGTCCGCGCAATAATGAAAACAAGAACAGAAAGAAATTAAGAATTATAAAAAGTTTTCTTATTTTTATGTTTTTTTTTTTTTTTGTTTTCTGTCATTCCACTATATACTATGGCATTGAATGAATACAAAATACATACTTAATACATGTAGTAACTATGTATGTATGTAGAACTAAATAAATTGTATATACATAAATAATTCGCTAAATTATTCATTTTTATTCTTCTTTAATAACTGTAGCCTGGACATTATTAACTTTTTCACTAAACTTATTCTGAATGGACGAATAGGAGCAAAAACTTTTTTCACCTACTCATATATTTTGTTATCAGTTGTGATCATCCAAACAACTATATAATACATATATATGTATGTATATACTTATATGTATGTATAAATTTAATAAATATGTTATGTATTCAACCAAAAGTTCACACTCACTGGGCCAGTTCACTCAAATGTAGTTATTTTAACTTAATTTCAATTAACTACATTGCATATTTCCAAAAACAAAAAACAAAACAGAATAAAAAGTTGCTGAAATTACTGGTTTCTAAGGTCCAAGGTTCATCACAAATTTCGATCTACACTGAATATATGTGTGATGCATATATGCTTTATAGCATATACTCGTATGCATTATGTATACCCTCTATATTTACGGAAATTTAAAAAGACCCAAGAACGTGATAATGGAAATATTGGTGTTTAATGGAAATATAATGCAGACTATATTAAATTCGTAACTTAATTAACCGATTAACTTCTGTTTCTTATAAACAGGTCTATGAATCAAATACTAAATCTATTTTTATGACAACCAATACTGTGAATTTAATACTTCTTAAGTACTTAAAGAAGTTAGCAAGAAAATGTTATTCGTACATTTTTAGGTCCTATAGATCCTAAAAATATGCAAAACAATTTTTTTTAAACTACAGGCAATATATGTATGTACGTTAACATTTATTACGTTAACATTTATTACAAAACGCAACTAAAGTAATTATTTTGCAATATCCAAAAGTTGACCAACTCCCGGTTGAAATTAAGGGTTACAAATATACATATCAGCTAAATGCAAAATCTAAACATTTTGAATGCGGGTTTTAGAAAACTAAACCATTTGAAAGATCAAAAAAGGTTAAATAAGCTTTCCCCTTGTAAATAATTTATTTTTTTCCTTCGAAAAAATCGATTGCATATAGAACAAACAATTTCATTTCACAAATAAATTTAATTTCCTAAAAAAATCTTTTTGAAATCTATTGAATACTATAAAATTTTCGACAATTAATCTACCGAAATACTTATGCTTTTAGGTTCACACACTCAAATAAAATCGCTATAATACGGCGGGCAATAAAACTAACTACCATGAATGTATAAAAGGTAACAAGAGTCAATTATTATAAAAATGAGTTCTATGTAATAGAATATATAAATTTTTATGTATGTTATATTTTTAAAACTTTGTAAAATTAAAAAAACTTCTCATAACTTTATTGAATTTTTTTCCAAAAATTGAATTTTTATGAGAATTTATGCACTATTATGGGTAGACCCGAATGTAAACAAAGATTCCGCCATTATTATAAGTTATCTTCAAATAAAAAAAATTTAGAAGAAAAAATTTAATACGAATGAATTTAAATTTGGTGACAGGAAATAACTGTAAAAGAAACGCAGAAAATCTATTGGACAAAAATAATATTCTACCGTTTAAACTGAAAACAAATTTTTTTTTTGTTTAATAATAACAGAATTGTATACGCAAACAAAGACTCATAAGTGACTCATTTAAAATTTTGGCGTAATAGGTGTTCCTACATCTAAATATAAGATTTCTTACAGAAGCACAGAAACCAATAAAAAAAATGTGATATACTAATTTCTTTCTGTTTTAATTAAAAAACAAAATTTTTTCCTTAGAAAATAAATTTTAATTAAAAACCACTCATCCAAAGTATATAGAATTAAATATTCAGAAAAAATATTCAATTCAAATGCTTTTGAATTTACATTTTATTTTTGGCGCAAATATTAAAATATATTTTAAGTTTTTGTTATAACGTATAAATGAGTAATATTTTGCTTGGTATTTATGAATATCTGAATTTTATTATTGCCTTTACTTAATTTAATAAAATTGAAAGTCTCTAATTTCCTTTAAAAACATAAACATTTTAAAAAGCAAAAAAAATATAAATTCAAATGCAACGCTATCAAATGCGGGATTACTAAAAATCAATAATAAAATTTTATTAAAAACTTTGGTTTATTATTTGACTTTACGCCCAAATAAAAAATTCCTCATTGAGTGATTTGCTGTGAATTCAGGAACAATTAAACAAAAAGATGCCTACATTAAATTCATTAAATCAGACATTTACCAATTTCTTTTTATTTAAGTTTTTAAATTTGTGTAACACCAAATTTCTGGCAGTACAAAAAATACTGAAAATGTCAAAATTTGAATTAGAAAAATAAAAATTAATAGGTATAAAAAGTGAAAAATGCGTTTTAGACATAAAATTATAATGTGTCTGTCAGTCAAATTATTTTCGAAACAGGTCGGGAAATTATGAAGTACAAAAACAAAATTGGAAATTTTCTTTCAAATCAAAGAATCTATGTGTAAATAATTTCGATCACAAATAACAGAAAATATCAAATTTTTGCAAAAAAAACCATACTAATAGCTAAACTAAAACTTAAATATGTAATAATTAAGATAATTGTGTTTAACAGATCTGATGATAATTCCTTTTCTTAATATAGACTTTTTAAAAAATATTAAACCAGAAAAATTAGTTTAATTTCTAGTGAAGTACATACATATGTGAATATTATTGACTTGTCAGTCGCCTTTAAAATTCAGTTAACAATTTCCTATTACAATCAAATATCTAAAAATTAAATTATTGCAATCCTATATTTATTATATTGTATTTGAGAATTGTTTTGTTTCTTCTATATTAAGTTTAATTAATTAAATTAACACGTGTAAATTTAATTAGCATTAAAGCATATAAATAATTTTTTTTCCAAGGAAAATTTTGTGTATATTTGAGTTGAAAATTCGATCTAAATAAACATAAAATAAATAAACACTTAAGAAAAAGTTAAAATTTTCAAAATATCCAAATAATTAAAAATAAACAAAAAACAAAGCAATAAAATTATAATAAAAATAAAATATACATATGTAGGTACATTAAAATTGAAATTTTTCATTTGGTAAAAGACCACATGATATTGCTCATCATAAATCAGAAATTAAGACAATAAAACAAAATAAAAATGAATCACAACGAAATATAATTTAAATTATCAAAAAAAAATTTACTTGAAAATTACAAAGTGTAGCACTTAATTTACAAAAATCTAATTCTCCATTTTTATCTTTAATAAATGCAGAATTTTATTAATTTAGGATTTTGGAAAAGGAATTCGTAACTCAAATGTAACATTAAAATGTTGAATTTAAACAAAGATTAAAAAAAGTTCTACTAATTTTGTTTTTGAGTATATTTCAAAGATAACTATCCATGTTTAATAGATACAAAAATAAAGCCTTTTTATGCTGCAACATAAAATGTTTCCAGGACTATGTTAAAACCTTCACTATGTTTTCCAGTACTTCAATTCTTATAAAAAAAAATTGAGGGAAAATTATCAAATAATTTAAATTATTAACCAATTCTCAAATGTTTTAAATAATTCAAAAATACCCACAGCCAATATTATTATTTTTTTCCAAATATTATTAATAGTGATTTTAAGCCATTTTTCAATACTTCTTAAATTTCCCAAAATTAAACTGTTATACCCTGTTAAGTAAAATTATTTATATAGATAGTCAAATGATGTGGTTTAAATTCTCCCTAAATCCTTCCTCCCACATTTCTACGAAATCTTCCATAATAATTGATACCAATTTAATATTTATTTTTGTAACAGCTGCGTACTACATACTTTATTAATTCTTATAATATTCATTCAATTCATTTAAATAATTACAATTTTTCGATTTACCACCTGTTTATTTTCATAAAATTATTTTAATAATAAAACTTAAAAAAAAAAATTTTAAGTAACAATAAAAATCAAAATAATTTTTAAAAATAAAATCATAAAATATTTTTTTTTTGCTTTTTAGCTACTTAAATTTAATTTAAACTAAAAACTAAAAAAGAAAACAATTAATTAATACTTTTAAACAACAAAAAAGCTTTGTAAAAATTTATTATAAACTTTAAATATTATTTCTAATAATATTTTCCGTTATTCAAACCGTTATAATAAAATCTATTTATGTACACAGAGAAAAAACACAATTGAAATTCTATAATATTTGAAATAAAATTTTATGACTGAATCACTAAAGGCACACGCCGATCATTACGCGATGATGTTAAGTACTAAACTGAAATAAAAGTTTGATTAAATTCTATATGGTAAAAAAACAAAAAAAAAAAACAAAAAAAAAAGAAACAAAAACAGGAAAAGCAGAAAAACTAAAATATGAAAATGTGAGACAGAGGCAGTTAAAAAAATCGTGTAATATAGTTTCTTTTTTTTTCCTTTTTTTTTTTATTCTTTTTCTACACTATAGTTTTCTCTACTCATTTTTTTCTTTTATATGTCATAATATATTGATTTCCATAAGGTTGCCATCATATACTTTTCAGCTATAGTTGGGAAAACACATTTTAATACAATCTTAAAATATAACAAAAATCATAATTGAAAGAGTTCCAAAAACTAGAATATTCGAACAAATAGTCCAACAATATAGTCAAATTTCGGAATGTTATGGTGGAATTTATGGCGTTCGAATAGTTTCATCTAACAAACACAAATATTTTGATGAATTTTTTAAAATAAAGTTTATTTTATTAAAAATATTATTTAAAAATTTTGGAAAATGAAATTCTAAATAATATTTAAAAAAAATATTTATTTATATTCTCACATAATTAAATTTTAGCTCTTATGGTTAGAGCTACTAAGCTTTTAAGGCTCTGCATTTAATTTGTATTTAAAACTTTGGAAGCTTGAAAGTTGTAACCCTAAATTTTATTTTGTTTTAATTGAACTACAAAATGTCCTTGGAACATAACATGTTCGTACATTAGAGAGATCGAAAACAATATGCAATAAACATACTTATAAGAATAGAACAGTTTTCAATTCCACTTCAAGTTTCCACTTTTTGTTGAGAAAAAAAATTCCCATGTATTTTTAGTTCATTTAAAATTTATAAAATGATGTTATCATCTTCGTTACAAGTAACTATTTGTAAATTCACAATAATAAAATAATGAAAGCCGAATGTTTTAATACCAATATTAATAAACGTTTAGTTAATTGTAACAATATCAAAACTGAAGTCGATAAGGTAAATAGCAATTGAATAAAAATGAAATTGTATTATACGTTTTTTTTAAATTCGAAAAACTTATTACATAATATTTGGATCCGTTTTTCTTTTTTTTAAGTACTGGTAACTCTAATAATATTGTCCTTTTATATTTTTCTTTTTTCTCTTTTATATCATAAAGAAATACTGAAAAGTAGAATAACAATGTATTTTCATCGTTCATAATAAACCGCACATACACTTTTTATTTTGTATGTATATATGTATATCTGAATTTTAAGTTCTGTGTGTGTATGTATACGTTTATAATATTAATTATTCATGTATAAATAACAAACTATTAAACGGCAATTTAACAATCATATGTCTGATATTATATACCAAAAACATAATCGCTTAAAAATTATATAAAAATTGCAAGTATATATGTATGTACATATAATTATAGATACGCAAATATTTTGTACATATTGCTCATAAAAAAAACTTTTCCGAATTGAATTTAGTTAAAAGGAAACGATTAGGATCAACAACCTCATCATTTGAACTAAATGTTTAATTTTCTTTTTTTTTCATTTCATTTTCTTTTCTCCTCCTCTTCATGTGTTTAGTTTTTTTTTTGTTAAGGTTTTCAGGCTAAATGCAACTTGCCAAAACTTTTTAATATAATGGTTTTAAAATGAACTTTGAAATATACAAAGAAGAAAAGGTAATAATTATACTCTGAGGATAATCAAACATTTTATTTGTTCTTCTTTTCAATATTTTTTTTATTTTAGCATCCTGGAATTGGAAACAAATAGAGAGATAATAAGTTTAGATCACAGTACTGTCAAAAATTTGAATATTAAATTTTTATATTCGGATTTCAGTGCTATATAATAATATACTACAAATACATATATTGAGCTATATAAATATAACTAATAATGTAACTAACTAATACGTGTTCAGAAAAAATTAATAATTTGTAATAATTTTTCCAACTAAGTTAAAAGTGAGTAATCCGAGAACTAATCTCTTACAATTATTTGCACAAATTTTTCGTGTACATTTGCACAAACGTGTACATTTCTTCACACGTTTTCCCTACTTTGAACCGTAGGCGTAAGCGTAAACGATATAAACGGCAACAAATAAAGGTACGAGTAAGTCAATCATAATTCGCATTTTTGCTATAACTTTAAACGAGTTTAACCAAATTTTTTTGTGCGGTCTTTCCCACTAATTTTTGTTAATTTTTGCTTTATTAAAATTTCATCTTATTTTTAACTTGGTTTTTATTCAAAATAGCAACAATTACGTTATAGCAAATATTTTGTTATGCAGGTTTAAACTACACTTTTTAATTTATTATCGAAATCTTAAATTTTTAGTTATTTTCCTTTTGTCTGAGAGTGTGTGTACACATGGACTAGTTTTACTCATTGTTTGCAATGTAAACGTTTTCCATTTTTTTTTTGTATTTTGTGTATTCTTTCACATTCCTGTTCCGTATTTGTGCATTGGTCTCGTTCTTTGTGATGTTGTTTTCAATGCACAAAGAGCGTGTATAAGACAGTGGTGTTTACTTTGTTTTGTACTTTCATCCCATTTTAAAATAGTAGTTACCTACATATGTATTTATTTTTTTTTTATTTTTTTATTCTTATTTTCTTGCTTAATGTTTTATTTATATATCCCACCTATTTTTTGTGTGGTTTTGAAAATTATTTTTGGAAAAGGAAAAACATTTTTATTACAGACGACGGTTCAATTGAATTTCTAAAAATGACAATAAAAGTTAAATTCTATAATGCAAAAAAGGAAAGAATAAATTGTTTTTTATTACTTTTATTATTTTATTAGTTAAATAAAACATTATTGATTTCTTTTTTAAATGAAAGTTGCGTGTCAATTGCCATATTGAATTGTCAAGGTTAAGGTGACATTAAAAATATTTTTATTTTTATACAGTTATTTTAATTTAATCCATTTAGTTATCAAGATAACTGTTAAATGACGTATGGATTGGAATTATATTGACGCGTGTAATATCAAGGTGTTAATAATCTAATAAAAGAATGTGCGAACCTTAGAAGAAAAATGAATTTTTAAGAATTATTGTAAAATTTAACTCTAACTAAAGTCATTATATAAAATATTTGCAAACTTTATGAATTATTAATGAGAAATTTATCATTTTCCCTCAAATCTAAAAAATCTTGTATATCTTGTTAACATACTTTCATTATTTTTCGTTTAAAGTTGTAAATCAAAGATGCCTTCTAACATACATACATACAATTAACATACTTACATACATAACAAAGCAAGAAAAGTGAAAAGAAACTTTAATTGTTATAATGTTTTACTTTTTAAACAAATCTGAAATAAATTAAATTCTTTGCCATAAAGTGCAACTTTGATTTATGAAAGCCAACATTAATTTATATAATCTTTGTTGTTGTTGGTAAAATCAACATTATACCTTTTCTTATTACGTTTTTGTGAAAGTTTACAAAAATAAAATTTTCAAAAAAAATAAAATAGTTCTTTGAATTTTTGTAACATAAAGTTGTGCTATTTTTTAGCAGTGAATCATAGATTTATGGATTTTTCTTATAGTTGCACAATTAAATGAGATGAAATCTTGAAGTATAAATCGCCCCAAGCTTAAGTTATTTACATATATGCAAGTTATATTTTATATTAAACTTCAAATAGTCTTCATAAACATTTTCTATAATTTCAGAACTCATTCTGGAGTCGATCATAGGTTCTGCTAAATACTAAAAATCATTTTAATCATAAAAATCGCGTCAACTCTGAATTGTTTAAGCATGCAATAAATTTTTAAGGTTTATATATGTACGTGCACATAAAGTTTATAAAAGATTTATGCACAAAATCTATTATTTCAAATTTGGAAATCTGAATCCATACAGTTTAATTTTTAATTTTTTTACATCTTTGCTTTTCAACCAAAAAAAAAAAAAAATTCAATTAAAAAAAAATTGGCACATAAATTTTTTAAATCAATTTTTCTTCATTAATTTTCCATGTCCTTCATATTCAAATACAATAATTGAATAGTGCATACAGTTATTGTTTTATAAAAATGAAATTTACATACACACATTAATATTTTTTGTTTTTTTTTTTAGAGGGAAAAACTAGGTTAACTAGGTAGAATATTATTATATGTATATTATTATATATATATAAATGTAAATGGAGAAGAAATTGAAATGGCCGAATATTATTTGGTTATATTCAAATTATCAGTACTTTATATACCTACAAAATATGAATTGCAAAGAACCTCTTGCTGGTTGAATGGAGAAGAATGGTTTGTTGGATTGAAGTGACTGATACGACAGGTCAGCCACACCCAACAAATTTGCCATCCTGTTACCACCACCACCAGACCATCATGTTATCATCGAACGTTCAATCACAGGTCGCCTACCTTAGTCGCGCGATCCCTTGTTTTAATTCATTTTAATCAACGACAACAGTCCTCGTTCATGTAAGGCCAAGTAAATAAATCACTACATTAACTTATTATATATTACTGTTGTATATTAAAGAAAAACTTAAAAATATCAACATACTGTTAAGATAATAATTTTTCATTGTTAAATTGTCTGAATTTTAGACACTACAAAAAATACATATAAAAAGAAAGTTGATAAGTTTTAATTAGTTATTCACAAGCTTGAAGGTATATAGTTAATAGTTTTTAAATTATTTATAAAAATAAAAATTATTTGATATTTTAATGGAGTTTTTTCCAAAAAAAAAAAACATAAATCCTAATAAATAATTCAATTTTTATTAAAATAATAATAAATGTAAACTCTATTTAGCAAGAAAAGATTTTTAAGAATTTAAAAATTAAATTATTTTAAATTAAACTTTTTCATTACGCTTCTAGAAAATAATTTTTAGTTCAATTACATTTCGAGAGAGAAAACAAAATGGAAGAAAACATCACCTTTAAGGTTGTTTGCTATGACGGAAATTACCACCATTTAAGTATAAGAGCATC